CCCCAAAACCCCAAAACCCCATTGAGAGGTATTCATACAAGATAAAAGGATACGAGATTAAGGTTCAATTAATAAATATATATTTATTATTAAGAGAAAGATATTTTCTGACGAATTGAAAGATGGGAAACTAATCTTTGAAGACGGCCTTTAAAGGTCATTTGAAAAACGAAGTAGCAGAGGAAATGACATTCCACATGAATGCCGAGTTCCTCTTCGAAAACGCACTGATCAATCTCATTTTTGAGAAGGTCAAGAAGGAAAAGATCACGGGAGAGTTCGAGATCGAGACATGTCTTAAGGAGAACAACAACCAAGTCAACAATCACTGCGAGGATATCCTCTCTAAGAAACTGATTGCAGAAATCCACTAGAACATCACTGCTGGATTCTCCTCTGCAGAAGCAAACATTGACTATCTAAAAGAACCAAGTAAGTTAAGCTTTAACCAACATTTCCATCCTGACTGAATCTTAATGCTTTACTTTAGACTTTGAGAAGTTCTTCACTGTGTACTGCCCTACTGAAGTAACTGAGTTCACTACTTTACAGCAAAAGAAATTCTTCATTCTCTACAACCTGTATGTTGAGAAGTACAAGGAGTCCAAGAAAGAAGTACGATATTTATCAGTCATTTTCAATAGGGAGCTGGCTTCTTCGACTTTGTGAGAAGATTTTTTGAAGAGAAAAACACAATGGAAGACAGCACTGAGGCACTTTAGTTGAGTCTCTAAGGAGGACTCAAGTTCTCTATTCATCTTTTGAAAGAAATCCAAGGCTTAGCTCCTCATATCCTAAAAAGCTCTTTGGCTTATCTTTACAACAGCTTTAGAAACGGATCTCCACTATCTCTTTATGGAATCGACAAAACTTTCTTTGTCTCAGATCAAGCTATTAATGAAGCCAGGGAATTCCTCACCACTATAATCGAGAATCCTCTTGTAAAAGATATCGAAACCAAAGAACTAGCCTTAAAGATGATCTTGGTGGTAGGTATCTTAAGAGCAAACGTCGAAGACTTCATTTTGGGCATCAATCTGATAGAAAAGCATCATTTTGCTTTTGACATATCTGAGGAAATCAGCAGAATTAACTTTGATATTGAGGAAAGTGCACTCAACCCTAGACTATTCTAAGAGATAGAAAAAGTCAAACAGGATGCAAACCTATTCTCTCTCTAAAACCAAGTACCTTCTGACAAGAGTATGAGCCAAAACCTCGGATTCACCACAGATGGACAGTACTTTTACATTCATTACAAGAAGTATGGACTCTATAAGATAGGAACTGGCGAAAATGGAGATCAAATGATTGGCAAGGTCTACGGGCACAAAAACTACAGAATCAATGAGAAATGCAAATTGCTATACTTCAACGGAAAACTACTCTGCAGATCATCTACAGCAACTACTAAGGCCTTATATGTGATTGATCCAGTATCTCTTGATGAGACCAGAGAAATACTCTTGACTGATAAAGCTAATCCTATTAACCTTGAATGGAAGGATGATAAGGAAAACAACAGATTTATGGGAGTTACACCACTCTTCACAGATAGCAACTACATTTATGCTGTATCTTACAAGAAACCCGAAAAAGGTATGTTATCCATTGAAATTAAAAACATTTATAGATGATGAGGAAGAGGAAGAAAAGGAAGAGGGACAACAGGAAAATCAGAATTAGCAACAGCAATAGCAAATACCCAACTAAAATCCAGCTGACCCAAATGCTCCAAAGAAAAAATCAGACGACCACAATTAATACTAATATGTAATTGAAGTCTATGAGCTTGGCAAGACTGACTTGAAACTTAAGCCAGTTAGATAGATTCCACTCTTGAAAGATAAGGAGAATCCAATGATAAAGCCAAAACTTATTTTGAAAAGAGCAAGTTTTGTGACTAATGGTAAGCTGGCTCTGATGGTTTACAAAAGAAACATGCACTTTTTCGATCTAGCTACTGGAATCAGACTTTCTAAGTCAAAGCTTGATGATGATTTGAAACCAGAACAAGATGGTGTTGTTACCTATGACATATTCAACCATCGACTTTGGTATCTCAATAGAAAAGATAAGGAGCTCTACTCTTTCATCTGTCCTAACTTCAAGAGAGTTGTCAAAGAAGAGTCTGAGTTTTAAGTTTCTTACCTTAAGAGAAGAATAAATGCTATTAGAAACAAAGACCTCCCAGCCACTAAATCAGTAAAGGAAAGGTAGATGGACAATGTATTGTCTGCTCTGGGTATCCAATAAATCAAAAGCGTTATAAGAGATGAAGCTGAGAAGCCAATTGACATGGCCTCAGTAGACGAGAACAAGTTCCTCATAATGAGTTTATTAGCTGACTCATCAAACAATCTTGAAAGAGAAAGACCTTAGATCAAGTGGAACCCCAAGAAATACGAGGAGGCCACACAGAGACTTCTAACTCAATTCAAGAGTCCTTTCTGTACTAATTTAACTCCATACTTCTTTATGAAACTAAGTGAACTTCTTGAATCCTTTATTTCTTTAATCGACCAACCTAAAACTACTAAGACTCTAGAGCAATAATACTCCTTCTACTTTACTCTCAAAGTGCTTAAGAGCAACTTAATTTCCTTGACAATTTGTGAGATCGACCTAAAAGATATTATTCAAGATGAGAGTGTTTACAATAACTTCTACATGCAGTTCAAGAACACTGTTGTAAAGATCATTGAGAAGGGCTTTAACAAAGAATTCCAATCTCCTGAGATTCAGCTTCTCTGGAAAGAAATCTATGACGAATGTCTACTTTCAATGTCAATGGGTCTTGGTATGATCTACAACTCTTTCCAAGAGATCAATAGTATTCTCAAGCAGTCCTTAGCTGATCTTACCAATAGCAAAAACAAGGAATACGCTTTACTAGTCATCACTAACTTTGCTAGACATGAAACTATTAGAAAATTGATCAACAGTGAACAAAACCTTAATGAGTTGTTCACTCTGTTCAATGATATCATGAAGATCTAATGTGATCAAGCCTTAAATGCCATTGAGAGCACTCAATTCCCAAATCAATATCATGATTTGACTAAATCTGAGTTGCAGCAAGCTGTGTACTAATTCATTTACAGATTCTGTGAAAAATTCTTGGTGTTCTACACTGAATATAAGGATCAGCAACTTTAATAAAAGAAATATATGGAGAAGTTCATGATCAGACTCCTTGACTTGCTTACTCAGCAATGCTCAAAGATCACATCAGCACTATAAGAATTATTGGTGAGATTCTACAAGCACTTGAAATCAGAGCAAAATCAAGAAACAAGCAAGCATCAAGAGGTCCTTTGCAAACAGTACTGCCAAAAGATCCTATCAGAGGTTACCAATGTGTACTCTCTTTTATCACTTTATGTCAGCACTTTCTCCACAATGGAAGTAGACATCGCTGTTATGTCGCCTGTGTCAAACTCAATCATCACCTTAATTGATGTACTCTGTGGATTCTTTACTGAGATCAAGGGTATTGAAAAGACCATGGATAAGGTTCTCAAACCAACATTCGTTGTTGAATCAAGCCACCCCTATGTTTATTAAATCAGAGACCCAGTAGTAGTTCAATGCAAAGGAGCAGAGTCATTTAGACTTAACTACTCATCATCTTCTTAATTCCCTCCAATGGATTTCCTAAAAGCCATTAGAGCTGTCAACCCCTAATAAAACCTAGACCTCTATAGAATTTCAAGTGAAACAACTACTTATGCAGGTCAAATTATGGAATCAAAGGACGAGTTGAGAATTGAATTCGAATACAACGATATCAAGAAGCTAAAGCTAGAGTATTTAGTAGGACACCCAGTTCCAGAATGTTATGGCTATAAGATTGAAATCACTCCTTTGTTCGGATCAGAGCTACTCTCCTTGAACGACTATTTAGATCAGATACTCAGATCATGTTCCTGGCTAATAGGCAGATTCTCCTACAGTCTCATTAGAATTAGAAAAGTTGAGAAGGAAACTGACGAGGAGAAGAACTATAAGCTTCTTTTGCACAGTAAAATCTTTTCAGGTGGTTTTGAGAACAGATTCTTGCACCTATTCTCTAAGAGGACAATTAAGAAGCTCTAAGAGCTGTCAGACATCACAGAGGATTAGGCACTTTTGAAGTTCTTTGCTGAAAGAGAGAGCAATAACCACTAAATAATAGATGAGAAGAAGTATCTTACTCCAGAGGATAGTACATTGTTCTCAATCTTGCACGATAGAAGAGATCCTAAAGTAGACTAATTCCTGGAATTACTGCAGAGAAGCTTTGCAAAGACTGTGATTTGGGGTAATGTCGGTGGAATGACTGGAGAAAGAATGGTCAGAGCCTCTTTCGGGCCTATGATTAAATTCTCAAATTTAACTGCAGATTTCATGTCACTAGTTGAAGAGTACTAGATTGAGCTTGAGGTCAACAATGACATTGAGGATAAGAAAGAAAAAGAAGCCAAAATCATATCGCAATTGAAGCAAAACCGCAACTACGACTAGATAAACAAGAGATGGGCAGTTGCTAGTAGAATGAGAACTTTTTACCAAGAAATAAAGAAGTCAATTAGCGAGGCTATTGAGAAGAAAAAGTAGAAGCTGCTTCTGACAAGAAACCAAAGCTCTTAACAAGAAGAGGAGAAAGAAGTCACAATGATTGACACAACATCTATTTCAAACTTAGACGCAGATGACCTGTCACTTGAGAAGACTTAAAGCATGTTGGACTTCGACAAGGTTGAGAGAGATATTGAGCAGATTACCCAGAGAATAATAGAAAAGTCTGAATTCTTACTTAGATTAACTATCCCAGAAATTTGGGAACAAAGTAACTAAGGCTAGGGGGATAATGATGTGCTGTTGATGAGAACAACTTCGGAGATAGCTGATTAAAAGCACAAGTTGATGGAAGATAACAGTGGTAAAGATCAGCCAGAAGGTAGTGAAGTAGCTGAGGATGAGTAACAAAAGCAGTCTAAGATACAATAGCCAAAGAATAACAAAGAATGGAAAAAGAAGCTGCATCAGTGGAGAATGATGCAACAAAGCAAGGGAGTCATTAAGTCAATGGAAAATGTTGGATCTGGTAAGATATTCGACTCACTCAGTGGAAGTGTCCTAGCCACACTTTAATCTGCCATATCTTTAAAAAGACTCAAGAAACAAGTAGAATCTGTATACTTAAACGCATCTCAAAGAGTAGCTGGTTTGAAATTGCTAGGCAAGCTAATGAACAAAGACTTGCCCCATTTATTCGACTTGATAAATTGGTTCTGTTCATCGCTTAGAGGTAATTCCAATCACCTAGTCCACTACCTCGATGAAATCAGAGGGTGTGGCAAACTCCTGGAACAGCAAGCAAGAACCAACTTCTTCCTAATCGTTAGTGGCCTTCAGAAGAAGCTAGTCAAATCCAAGGATGAAACCGAGATCAGACAGATTTTGAATGCCCTTAAATGGGACTACAGTGCCAATGACCACAAGCAACTCAACGAACTGAAGGTCTTCAAAATCCTCAGAGACGGGAACAAAGAGTCCGACAAAATCAAGAACCTTTGGGGGTCCAACTTCAAGTACGAGTTCTTGTTCAAGGAACCCCCTGCAAACGGAGTTGCTAAGACCAAAGAATAAGAGAGGAAAGACGATTTCAAGTTGCTTAATCAGATTGACCTAAGTAAAGAAGTCCTTGATCTTTTTGAGTTCGTCCTCGTCACAAGTCTTGGTAAATCACTCAAGCCTCAAGATGGTTCTGATAAGATCAAGCTTAAAGAGACTAACAAGTAGCAGTTGATGCCAAGTCTAGAGAGAATCGAGTCAGTCGTAGATGTTGACGCTACTCTGCAATTACTAAGCCAAGCCTATGAGATTCTGTTCAAGGAGCTGCAAAACTTTGTCGAATTCTCACAGAGATTCGAAGGCATCAACTGGAAGATCTTTGTAAGATTGATGAATAGATTCAAGAAAACTGGAGCTTACTTCAAAAAGGATTTAGATGGATTCGGTGATATCATAGCTGCTGCAGCGAGTGTTGCTCCTGTTGTAGATGGCTCTAATGAATATGATCAAGAAGACTATGGAAATGACTATGGTGATAATTACGAAGGAGGAGAAAAGGAAAATGGATTTGTAGATATCGAACTTGAACAGGCTTAACAAGAGAAGGGCAAGGAGGAAATCGAGCTCGGAAAATTCAAGGAATTCTACAATATCATCTTCACTCACAGACTATTGCAAATGATCAACTTAATTTCATCTGTATCCACCAATAGCGCATACGCTTCACATATTCTCTTCAATATTTCTCACCCTTAGAGAATAGGCACTTTAATTGGTATCTTGTGCAACGGTACTCCTATCCTTAAGATCCTAGTTATCAAAATTCTTGAGCATTTAATTAATATTTTGCCTCCTGAACTATTCGAGGAGAGTGTTAAAATCATGACTACGGGCTAAAATGCCAATACATACTAGTCCCAATTACTTGAAAAGATCAAGACTAGATCTCACCTCGGAAAGCAAAATTCCTTCACCCGACTTCTTTTCAATTATCTAATAGCAATCAGAAATAAGATCTGGGCAAGGAAATTTGAGTCTCAAGGAATGTATGGCGTCTCAAATGCCATTGTAAACCTTCTAAGAAAGATGCTAGAGAATTCAGTTTGGAGACATTTACATGAGGATGAGCTGAAGGACTCAATTAATCAGATTATGGTCTTGAATTTTGAGGAGAAAGACGCCATTCTAAGTCTTTTTGGAGGAGAACTTCAAGGACTCACTACTGGCATCATCGCTTAAGATAAAAACGAAAACAAAGTAGCACTACTTGGATTTGCTGACTAATGGATTGAAGACTAAGATGATCAAGCCAAGAAAAATCTAAAAGTGCCAAGGACCACTATGAACTTTGAAAACAAAACCAACAAAGCTATAGGCCTATTTATCAACGAGACCTCTCAAGATAACAATGAAGTGTTAATTCTAGATCCTTAGGAATTAGTGTTCATTGAGGGTACCAACAGAAGAACCAATCAACTGCCAATTAAAGATCTGCTGATGGAAAAGGATATCATGCTTAAGTTACTTTAAGAAGGAATCATCAATCTTTCAAAGGAAAAATCGTAGAAAATGACAGTTGAAGAACTCAACTTCAAGATCCTTATCACCAAGATCATCTTCAACTTGATCCATGAGAGAGAAGAGCAATTCATTGACTTCCTTAAACAACCACAAATGCAAAATGTATTCACTGAGTTCTTGAACTTGCTCTTCTAGGAGTCTTGTAAAATCCTCAAAACTCCGATTACACTTCAACTTGACTGGGTTGAGCAGAAATGCTTTGAAATTAGAAGAGCTGCTTGCGAATCCAAGATTACTCTTATCAAACTCAAAGAACTATCAGCCCAAGTGATCATTGACAAGGTGTTCTTCAGCTACAACTCACAAAAGATCTAGAAGGAGTATTTGGACTATGATCTGATTGGTGCAATCAATTTCGAGAACATAGTAGATATGCAAATGAGAGTCGGCTTCTTCAATACAGATGATAGAGTGAAGACTCCAGAGTTTATGGTGATCTCAAGCACTGATCTTTACACTGAACTGGGAATAAAGAGACTATCAGAATGTGAAGTTATATTGTCTTGTGATTTGAACCTTGAAGAGTATCTAGTCTTCTTAGAGAGACAGGAAAGAAAAGTCAAGGGCATAACTGAGAAGCCAATCATACTGATCGACAAAGAGGATTTCGATGATGTTCAGCAGAAGTTCTTGATTGATAAAATCCATCACAATGTAGTCGAAGTTGTTGAGGATTTAGACGACTCTCAGAAGGAACAAGCAGAGTTTGCTAGACAGGCAAAGATCATTTCTGAGTATGTTGGCTTAGACTATGAGAAAGTTCTTAAGATGGTGAAAACTGTTGATTCAGATTTCTCACTTACAAGCAAACTGAACGGTTTAATCAAGGAAGAGCAAAAGAGAATTGAAGAAGAAAAGAAGAAAAAGCTAGAAGAGGAAGAAGCTAAGAAGCTCAAGAAGGAGAATCAGGAAGAAGAGAAAAAACTGGAAGAGATCCCAGAGGATTTGCTAAATCAAGTTGAATTTGAGGAAGAGCAAAGCGAAGTAAAGAAGGTGAATATCAAAGTCTAGTTGACTGAAGAGTAACTGAAGAAAAAATAAAAACTGAAAGAGCAAAAGGAAAGAGAAGAGATGATCTCTTACGTGATGGATTTGGTGTAAGAGGATACCAGTGCAGCCATGAAGTTTGAACTCAAAGAGAGAAAGAAGTTAGAGCAATAAACTGCTGAGGCTCTGTTTAAGTCAGTTAAAGGCTTCACAGAGGCAACTGCATACTCAGAGTACTAGCAATCTTTGGATTTGCTGTTCACACTCTACTCTCGTAGGATACTCCAAAAGATATTGACCATTAAGTTTGAAGAGTCACTCTCACTGATGCTCAATAGCAAGGAAAGAAAGTTGCAGTTCAAATAGTTCCTTAAGATCATCAGCAATGAAGCTATATTTGTGCAGTTCAATACAAGAAACAAAAAACTGTTCAAAAAGATTAATGAGCTAATGAAGAGAATCGTTATCAAATGCAAGGGCGACGCAGATTACAAGCAATTCATTGATGAGCTATTCCAAGAGGACGTAATCAAAGCTTCTAAAGAACTAATAAAACACCTTAAGAACGAGAAACTCAGAAGTATCAGAGTCCAATTCAGCTCAGAAGACAAGGCTACAAAATACTCAAATCCCTACTTTGTGCTTTCAGTATCAAAGATCTATTTGGAATAGTGCCCCGATGACCTCTTAAAGGAAGATGTACTCTAGACACTTATTGAGTAATTCCTCACTCTCGCCTACATGTTTAACAAGGACCCAGAACTCAAAGTAAAGATCAACGAGTTCATCTTGAACATTCTGGAGGCAGTTCAAAAGAACTACAGCAAGTTGTCATTCAAACTAAAGGAGCAGTTGCAACAAATGTGGATGTTCAAGAACATAGTAGAGAAGTATACCTTCAATACCATTTCAAATGAGAGTGTATACCCCAGACATCACCTTCTATTGCTTGAAATCCTTATGAAGCTACTCCAACTTAAGAAACTGTCCAAGAAGGAAGTGCACTCTATCTACAGCAAAACTGAAGTCATTTTGTAAATTCAGAGAGCCAAGGATGTTTTGAAGGAAACTAACTAGTACAAGTTACTGATGTACTTGATTCATTACAACAAACTCTCAGTTGAGCAGAGGACCATCAAGAGATCATTTGAGTCAGGACACAACATCTTCAATACCAAGTTCACAGCTCAGTTCAGAATTGATGAAATCGAAAAGATGACTCTGATGTTTGACGAGCTCACTGAGATTGAACCAGATACTGCTGTGGCTATATCAAGAGACTACGAAGGCTAAGAAATATTGCAAGTTCTGTTTGCTGATGAAATAGCCAGAAAGAGTATTGATATCTATGATGAAAACGTCTATGTTCATTACCCTTGCAGACCTTCAACCATATTCGCTTTTGGAGATTGCTACAATGGTAAACTCGGTATTGACATGGCTTAAGGTCAGTTTGAAAATCCAACCATCATAAAGAAGGTTCTTGCTAAAGTAAAGGATATCTAGTCCTTCAACAATGCTATTGTGATATAATTAGAGGATGGATCACTTTACAGGGGTGGATACAAAGAATACTGGAATGCAGCTGACAAGCATTAGATTAAGAAGTGGGACAAGAAAGCTCAGTCTTTCAGTCTTGGAGTTAGACACACTATGATTGTAAATGAAAAAGGCTAAATTCAAGGAGAAGGAGTGTCAAATGCAGGAGGAATGGGAACTGAAGTCTATGAAAACAAGTCCTGGATCAACATCAAGATTCCAACTAAGGACAAGGTAGTATCGCTCAGCTGCAGTTACGACTATAGTTTTGCTATCACTGAGAAGGGTCATCTCTACTGCGCTGGAAGCAACATGCTAAGCAAGTTTAACATCACCAACTTCAACAAGTTTGAAAAGATTGATCTTGGCTAGTCAGTTAAAGCTGAAAAAATAGTCAGTGGCTATAGTGTCATGGCTCTATTGCTAGTTAAGAACAATGGCGTCAATGAACTTTGGAGTGCAGGCTATAACAGCAAGGGTGCTCTAGGAAGTGGAGAGAATGTGCAAAATAAGTCAGTCTTCAGTAGACTTGCCTATGATGCTAACACAATCAAGTTCGTAGATATGGACATCTATATTGATCATGCTGCTGCTCTCACTGAGGAGGGAGAACTTTATCAATGGGGTTTCAACGCATTTGGAAGATGTGGTATCAGAGACAGAGATAAGAATGTATTCCCACCACAGTTCTGGGAACCAAAGAAGGTTGAGTTCTTCAACGACTACATTGTAAAGCAAGTAGCTGTTGGTTCATGCCACACTATGGTAATTGCTGCAACTAAGAAGGAACCCACTAAGAATAAGGTATTTGCATACGGAAGAGAAGATACCAATGGACATCACTTGGCATGTTCAAATCAGGAGGCCTAGAAAGAAGATGACTTCATTAAGCATTTGAAGAGATTTGACCATCTTAAAGTGTATAAAGTTGAAGCAGGAGGCAAGTGCTCATTCGTTTGTTGTGAAGGAGAGGAAGATCTTTTGTCTAATAGATACAATCACAAATATGCAGTGTGCATTATTTGCCAGCAAACTCCAGTTGAAGGACCACTTCACTTTACAGTTCAAGGCGAGAAGAGACAGTTCACTTACTATTGCAAGAATTGCGTTGCCGATCCAGAAAACCAAGACATTCTTCCAAGAGTCTGCTATGCTATCAAAGCTCAAATTCAAGATATAGAATCAAAGGATTGGTAAGACCTCAATCAGCTTGAAGAAAATATTGAAGAGGGAGGCAAAGAGTTCACATGCGACTTCAGCAAGTCAAGAATTAATTCAGACAAGACTCCATGGTATATCAGCTTTACCAAGATCACAGAGTCAATAGATGAGTTCAATCTCTCAGAAGAGTCTTACTTCCAAGCTAACTCAAATGACATTAATCCAATCATTTACCTGAGAATAGCTTAAGGCTACAAGCCAAAACATCTTGAAAAGTTCCCAACATTTGAACTTAAGAACTACTATCCAACCTAGGACTACTACGGTCTGAGATTCACTCTGAGTCCAGACTTCCAATACACTATCAACCAAAACATCTTGCAGGAGACTCAGGAGCAGTACTAATCCTACAACGAGGAAATGAAGAAATTCGACCCTAAACTTGACGAGGACTTGTACAAGTTCGTTGAGGACTACTGCTATCAAAACAGAGAGGTGCTTATCAAGGATATCAATCCTATGCTTATTGAAATTGATGAAAGAAGATTTGGAGATAAACTTAAGAAAATTGCTGACCAACTCAAGAGAAAGAGACTTTAAATCCTTCTCGATTTCAACAAATATGCTTCACAGTTGGTTCCATTCATCGATTATAACACCAAACTGACTCTGGAAGCTTCAGCCAGACTCAACGCCTACTTTATGAAAGCTAAGGAATTCATTATGTATCAGGTCAAGTACAAGTACTAAGCAGCCTATGTAAACAACCTTGAGACATCTACTGAGAAGAAAGATATCAATATCAACAGACTCAGAGCTCTGAGATTCTTCGATAGTGGAAAATGTGACCACACTGGAGAGTACACTGTCTTCGGTCAGTGCTTTAAATACCTCTAAGCCAGAAAATACGCTCCAATGATGGTTAACAACTCTACTGACAGAGCTTGGAACTCCAAATTCATCGGAGAAGGAAGTATTGATGTCGGTGGACCTTACAGAGAGACCTTCTTCGAAATGTGCAGAGAACTCTAATCTCATGCCCTTCCACTTCTGCTCCCAACTAGCAATCAAAAGAACGATTTTGGAGAGCACAGAGACAAATGGATTCCAAGTCCATCAGCATCCTCACCTTCTCACATCTCTATGTTCGAGTTCATGGGCGCTTTAATAGGAATGAGTATCAGATGTTCTCAGATCTTAAATCTGAACTTCCCTTCTATCTTCTGGAAGAAACTGATTGATGAGCCACTTGACAGATCAGATCTTAACATGATTGACTCTTATTGCCTTCAGATGCTAGACGGCATTAAGAATCTGGCCCAAACACTTCCAGAAAGAGAATTCCAAGAGTACCATGATCAGAAGTTTGTTACTTGCCTTAGTGACGGCACTGAAATCGAGCTAGTTCCAGGCGGCAAGAACAAGATCCTAACCAAAGATAATGCTAACGACTATGTGTAAATGGTGATGGAGGCCAGACTGAATGAATTCGACAAGCAAATGAAAGCCATTAAGCAGGGTATTGGAATGGTATTCCCTCCGTTCCTGAACAAGCTCTACACTTGGAAAGAACTGGAGTATAAGGTCTGCGGTAAGCCATCAATTGATCTTCATCACTTGAGAGCAATCACTAAGTACTCTGGATGTGCTGAGGATGACGAGACATGCAAGCGATTCTGGAGAGTGCTTGAGAGTTTCTCTGATGAAGAGAAGAGCCTTTACCTAAAATTCGTATGGGGCAGAAGCAGACTACCTCTAGTCGATGAGAAGTTCGGAGACAAACACACCATTAAGCTGATCTAACCAGCCAATTGCGATCAGTCATTGCCTATTGCTCATACTTGCTTCTTCGCTATTGATGTTCCCAAGTATTCTACAGAAGAGATTATGAGAGAAAAGTTCTTGTATGCAATCAAGTTCTGCTAGGCTATTGATACAGACGGAAGTCCTTATGAGATTTTAGGAGAGCAATCAGATGAAGATTTCTGAGCACCTTCCCTTATTAACTGTGAATGATGATTGAGAGCAATTACTCTCAAACACCACATTCACTTATTCAAACTTAATTTCAAAACAGTTTCACCCCTAATTTGATTTATTTACACTATTCTTGATTTCATAATTCTCACAAATTTAATCCATATGGGGTTTTGGGGTTTTGGGGTTTTGGGGTTTTGGGG